TTAACACAAAATTGAGAAAAGGCAAAAAAATAAAAAATAAAAAAGAGGAAAACAGATATGTATGATAAAATGCATAGTTTTTCCCTCTTTATTTAATACACTTGTATGATTATTTTATTCTAAAATATACTTATTTATGTCATATTTTGGTTTATGTGGCAATTCTATGAATATAGCGTAATTTGAAAGAAATAAGCGAACAAGGACCAAAATGAAAGAAAGTAAAAGTTTGGGGACTAAAGAGTAAATACTCTAAACTTGTGTCTAACCTTATGATGAAGATTCGAGAGTGTTAGAGGTCAATTGGATGAAATTAGACATCCAAGGGATGAAATATCGTCAAAATATGATCACACATCAATTTCCAATCGAAAAAGTTATGCACCGATTTTCGGCCTCATATTGAAATCCATTTTTGACATGTCAAAAGATCCAATTAGAAGATGATATCTGAAGAAAAGTTATATCCCTTTGAGTTATCTTTCCAACGCATCTTAAATTGTCTCAATCGAACATCAGCAGTGGAAGATATGACCAAAATACTGAAAGCTGTTCGGTGGAAATTATTAAAAATCATGCGGTCGCATGACTTTAATCCATGCGGCCGTAAAAGGCGTCTCAGCGAACTTCAGGGTCCATCTTTAATGTTCTATACGACCACATGACTTACAACCATGCGGCCACATGGTTCATTCTCGACACGATAATTCTGGTTTTCAAATTTAAGTCAACCACCTATGGAAACAACTATAAATACGTGATTTGCAACCCTAAAACAAAGCTAGAACGTACAGAACGCCTCCCAACTTCATTATTCTCTATTCTTCTCTTAGATTCATGAATTGTAACTAAACTTTTACACTTGGTAGAAGAAAATGGAAGCCTCGGATCACATATTGTGAGATCTAAATAGTTTTTCTTATTGTTTGATTTATATTTTGCGTATTAAATGTTTTTCTGCATTTATTTCTATGACTTGTTGCGTTTAATTGCTAGAGGGCCCGCCAGTTCATTGATTGTAACAATCTACCGCTAAGTTAAACATCAAATCCATAATTGTTTGATTCCTTTAACTTGTGAAGCAACTAGGTTTGATAATTTGCTGTTAATTGTTAAATTCTAGGAAGAACATTCAACTAAATTAAATGCAACTGCTGTTGTTTAGCTTCATCGATCTTTCTAATTCGTAATGCTATTATTAAATTAAATCTATAGCGCTGGTCTTAGGTTGTTTGATAATTATGGTTAATTAGGTCGCTGGTATTCTAACTATCTACAAGCATGGAGAGATAGGAAATCAATTCTAACGATAAATATTCAAAATATGAATTGAATTATCCTTGCATCTATGATCAATTGTGGATTTCCGACGGTGGATGTGGACTTAGACCAAGATTCGTCTTTTGATTGTTTTCGTTAATTTAATTTTCATTGTTATTAATTAAATTATTTACAATTATTTGCATACAAAACCCCCTATCATTGTACGAAGCATAAAAATATTGAATTATACACTTTTTATGGGATCGATCCTTGCTTCCACTACTACATTAGTTTTAGATGTTAAGGTATTACT